GGCTATTTATTACCAATCGACAAATCTTCAGTTTTCTTTCATTTTATTCACTAAAATTTTATTCTAAAACTTATTCAATAAAAGTATGAATACATGCAAGAATATGATCAAAAGATTTCAAGTGGCGAAATCATGAGCAATGTGTGCGCTATCCTACAATAAAAGACCTAAACTATTTTGAGCTGTTGCGGTATGGTTCCTATAAAAGTTTTATGACTCAGAGCAGAAAAAGTGATAAGAAATTTTAAGCTAATGGTTTCCTATTAGAATACTTATTCACTGTAAAGCAATGGAAACCGCGGTACAACGTTTTTACGCTGCTTGTAGTAGTTTGTTTAAGATTGAATCAACGTCAATAGTCCTAAATCGATTGCGGATCCGATTTTCGTACATTCAGCTGGAAGAAACTGCAAACAGAAACTTCACAGGGCAACATTATACAGAAATTGATATTCAACCCCTCCTCTTGTTCCCTATGTTCGATGCCATGATGGTGGATTCATCAGTTACCTCCCCTTATAGATCTTTGTTGATTACCCCCCGCCCCCCGCCCTCTCCCCCGGAGTGGAGAGGCACCAACAAAAAGTTCTATAAGTTTGGGTAAAACTTTTCTCCGAGTATCAGCTCGCATATGAAAATTTACTCGGACCTGAATCTTAATAACGCGCTCGTTCTTTCTTGCGCCCACTACTTCCAAGCGCCTGCTACGCAGGCTTGAACTTTATCTGTTCATCCGGCAAGTACTTTAACTTCGTGGGGGTCGTTCAATTGTACTTGCGGTTTCAGCATATAAAATATATATTTACAATTTATGATTAACTTCAAGAAGAAGCCTAATGCTCCGCGCCAAGATTTCCTGATTCTTCGGATTATTTCGAGAATTTGAAGGGTGCACCGTCCTGCAGACTGCCAATTGAGTCTTTTTCAAACAAATTGAAAACAATATCGTTTATAAAATATATATTAACAATTTACGATTAACTTCAAGAAGAAGGCTAATGCTCCTCACCAAGATGTCCTAATTGTAAGGATATTTCGAGAAGTTCTTTTTTTTTAATCATCGATAACTTTAAATTGAAATACATGTTGACTTAAAAAGGCTAATTTATCATCAAACGACAAAGTCTTAATAATTTATTCATGAACTATCTCAGAAGAACTCTTTAAATGATGTTAGAGTCACTAATTTCTTTCCAGAAGATTTTGAACTGCAGTCGTCAATGTGAACTTCCAGCACACTCATCTCGATCTAATTTTAACTAATTAGCCCTATAAAGGAATAATATATTCTGGAGTTCTACTTAACAGTTATGGAATAAAGCTGAGTAAGATATGAAGAATTATACTGATGAAAGCAGATGTTATCCACCTCAGCAGGCAGCCTCCAAGACCTGCATAATTCTTATTCTTATCTTTTCATATGGAAAATTTACCAAACCCACCTAAAGCCACAAATATGTAATTATTAGCTAGATGAATTTTAGCGGATAAATCTTCGTAATAATCAACCAGATGTCTTGGAAATAGTGAAAATAGTTTTTTTTCCTATAACGGATACTTTTGAACACTTTTGTTTTACTTTTGTTTTTCTATCCAACGATGTTTTTCTTAGTCCCAATGGAACGAACCAAAATCAAGAGAGAAAATACAGCAGAATTCATTTTCACAGACTCATGTATTCAAAAATAAAGATTGCTGTGCAAGAAATCTTAAGCGTTGTTATTTATCGACCTTAACTCAGAAAAAAGTTAGATTACCAAATTGATTTGAAAGTAAATTTCACCATATACCAAGACCGGCTACATCTCCTTAGAACACAAAAAAATGTCAAATATATCTAAGGGTGCTCATTCATGAAAATCTCTCGTGGAAATACCATGATATCGCAAAGAGGTAAACATTTTGGCGTTATTGCTATACTAAAATTATCCACATTCTGTACCACTCTATACTCTACCACATATAAAGGGCACCTACCAAGCCTTATTTATTATAATTGGCTTGAAATTATTTTTTTCTCCAATAACGCATTTCGTCAAAGCACATCGCAGTCCGGCAGATGTCACGCAATACCTTTTTTATTAGTACCTTGGTAGAGCCATCCTCGAGGCCGGACCGATACTCAGAGTCTTGGAATAACTGAGTGAGGGCCATTGTGTGTTTTTGTTTGTCATGTAAAAGGCCAGACCATCTTGGACTCGGATGAACATGTAAAGTGGCGGTCCCGTCTTTACTGACAGGAGACGTGAAAATCGAGTGTTCTCAGTTAGTACTTTCGTGCTAAACATTTACAATCAAATGAAGAGTTTTTTCTGTTGTTGTTGTTTTTTTTTGCGTCTCTTCTTATTTTTCTTTTATTCGGTGGCTGTAAAATTTTAACACCTCTTTTCTAATATATTTTCTCCTCAGCTTAATATTCGTCACTACCAAAACAAGATAGGCTTCAAGTCAGGACTTTTTTTCTTGTTGCAAGTTGCTGAAGACCGAAAGAAGGTCTTTGTTTCACAAAACTGAGTTGTTAAAATTTGCAATAGTTTACCTTCCAAATTGATTTTTAATATCATTTTACTCCAGATTTACTCCAGGTGTTTTATGCTGAATACTTTCAGAGGAAAATGATGTATTGTTTCGCCCAGTTTGAACTGAAAAAGTAGCTAAAAATTCGGATTCTTCGTAGTTTTTTTTATATACATGCTCTCTAAAGCTTTATCTCATTGAATTTATTTTATGCTGTTTGTAAAAAAAAATGTAGTTAACTTATTAAATATTTTTTCTCCTTTTCCCTCAGTTTTCTTTTTCATATAACTCTCTCAGTTTTGGAAATATGCTTGTTATATAACTCGGTGTGTGGCCACTGCTCGCATTTAACTGCGGCTGGAGCAGGCCTTTTAGTAATAAAAACTCTTTGAAAATTTTCGTTCCTAGCTATACTTTTATTGCACCACAAAGGGAGACAGGTATTCAATTTTTTATATATACATTAATGTCAACTTCTCACAGCAGCAAAAGAGTTTTTAAAGAAGTGACTTCGCTTCATTATAAACTTCAGCGCTATTATTACCAAATCCCTTTCCTTGTCAAATTTTGGCGATCTCTCCTGTCGTTGAATTCCTAACAACCATTTTCACGTTCAGAAAACGAAAAGAAAATTCGTCGTCGTTTGCCTTAGCACCCTCCATAAAACGTGAAATTAGACAGTTTTACTTCGAATTCGTGCATTGACGGCAAAGAAATGTACTAAAAGTGTAATGCAAGTGCAGAGTAGCTTTTCTGGCCGGTTCTCCTTGCCATCATCCAGCATTGGGCGGTGTTTCGTCTCTTGGAAACGCGTATTAGCTCCGATTGGGCAGTTTCCTAAGCTTCTTCACAAAATATATATTTCCACTTTATGATTAACTGGAGAAGCCTAGAGTTACTTACCTTAACTTCTGTCCATAGGCAGAAGCCCATTCTAGAAGGTGTCTTCTATTACGTCACTAAAGAACTCGAAGGATTTAATAGAATTGCTTCAACTACAGAAAATTAAAACTAGTCCATAATATAAGACACCTCAATTTTGGACTCTATTAGCACAAAAAAGGGCGGAGCGAGATATTTGTGAACATTATACCGCTTCAATATTACCAATCGACAAATATTCGGTTTTCATGTAGTTTATTCGCTGAAATTTTACTCTAAGACTATTTAATAAAAGTGTGAATACATGCAAGAAGATCATCAAAATATTTCGAGTTGCTAAGTCTTGAGCAATGTGCGCTATCCTATTATAGAGCGTTGTAAGTCACTTACGTGGCCAGCATATATGCAAATTTATTGGAACAAAAGAAATCGTTTACATAAGAAAAGAGTTTAACTCCCACAGGACTGGTTTGGAACACCAACATGGCTGCCGTTTCATTGTTTTGGGACACCAATATGGCCGCCGTGACGTCATGTGAAAACACTCTATAACCTAAAATATTTTTAGCTGTTGCGGTATGGTTCCTATGAAATTTTAATATTCAGAGCAGAAGGATTGGTTTTCTATTAAAATAGTCATTCATTTTAAAGCAATGGAAATCCCCGGCTGGTAAAAGGTTTTTTTAAAGCAGCTTGTTTAGTGTTTGTGTAAAGTACAGATATTTAGAGACACGGTTAAGTCAAACTTACATGTGTACCACGTGACCAAATGTTCCGTCTTAATTTGTCGTTTACTGTTCATCTCATTGGCAAAAAATTTTAACAGTAATCTATTTGCATGCTGGGGGCCTTCAATCAACCTTTTACGAGCGTTATTGCGAATTAAAAGTGTAGCCTGTTTTAGAATCTGAAAACGACAGCTACACTTGTAAACTACCTTACTAGTTGTAAATTACTTTTTTAAAAAGTATCCCCGGTTTCATCGGTAAGAATGTTTGAAAAAAGTGTTTATCTGCTCTTTTTCTAAGCCCTAACATGAAAAATTGTCTTATTGTTGCAGACGTGGTTGTAAATCTAATAACGAGCATAACTTTTAGCCCGCTTACAATTCAATTATTGGAGAAGACTGTGGAAAAGAAGAGTAACCTTTTATCCAACAAAGACTTTTGCTGAAATAGTGAAACGCGTAAATTAATTACATGACAAGAAGAAAATGTTGACGCCAACGACTGAGAGCGGAAGGTTCGTGGGTTCGATTCCTGGGCCAAGCAGTACTCAGGGTCTTAAAATAAAAGAGAAATGAAGGTACTTCCTTTGCCCCGCAAACGGCTAGACCTTCGCGTGTCTCAGATGACCACATGAAATGGCGGTTCCGTTTCCAGGAGGAGACGTAAAAATAGTGGGCTTAATTTGTACTTCATAGTGCTAATTACATTGACACTCAAATAAAATGTTTTTGAAACAGGAAGGCAGCCGTGAAATTTGAGATTAACATTATCAAACGTCTTCTTCCCGCTTCGTGCTCTTAAAACGGAGTCAGTACAGCTATACATTTTCTGCGTTAGGTAAAGTTAACGTTACAATCCGTTTTTATTTTTAATTTACTGTAGTTTCAGCCTACAATAAACAGTGTGTTCGTAATTATTGGCCCATATCCACTTAGCCGTCTCTGCAATGCCATGTCTTTTTCCCCAGGGTTTGTCCCCATGGTTTGCAACCACTTTTGCCAAAGGCCAGTCGTGGTCATCAAAATCAGGGGAATTCCATCCGGGATAAAAATTGCTGCTGCATTTCCAGGTTTCATTAGTTAGCAGTCCATTACTAGTTGAGCCGAGTATTCCATACGGACTGCCATCGGGGTTGTTCCTTCCAATCACGGAAATAACCCGTGTGTCTCCTGGTACTTTGTAGGTGAAAGGTATTTGCCAGACGCGGTTGTCGTCTCCGAGGCTTGTATTATCAGCAAGCATTTCCATCGAGTTGTCACATGTGAATGTTGCATCGAATTCTAAAGGAGAAAAATGTCATTACGATACTACTTCGACCATATGTGAAAAACAAATTTGTCAGTTTAGCCGATAGTGATTATTATTCACCGTCTGGTGTATGCATGCAAGTAATATCAATTAAAACAATTTTAATCTTGGATATACACAGGCACGGGCCGGTTCGCATTAAGGTCGTATATATGGTCCTATGATACATGAATCTTAAATCACAGCTTTAGTGTCTCTTTTCTTTTTTTCTTTCACTAAGCACCTATTTAAAATACCACTTGTCTTTACCAAGTTTTTAAAAAAGACCGAATTGTTGACGCACTGATCAATATTATATCTGGATATATATTCAAAGATTGTAAACCGTGCTTGAGAACAAAATCCGTTATTACATCTTAGCCCTGTATATTTCGGGAAAAGTTGTCCCGGCAAATAGGATAACCGCAGAAAAAAGTTGTCTTGACCCTTTCGAACGAGCCCTGACAACAGCGCTCGCGCATGCTCTGATTGTCTCATCTTGACCGAGTTTGACCCGTTGTGGGCGAGTGAATGTGTATATATGGATAAAAGTTGGCCTTGCTAGAAGGGTGAACCTGCCATCGAAAAAAACCTGCCTCATCCTCTTTTTGAGGACCCCAGTTTGTTAGCAACCGTTATGCAGGGCGCGCTGTCAGTTAACTATGGTCCCGCATCACCCTTCCACTTTAAGTACCAGTGATCCTACCTTTATCCTTGCAAAATGTCTTCCCGTCGCCCACATATCCATTGTCGCAAGCGCAACTGTAGGAGCCATGAGTATTTGAGCAAGATGCGAGGCTATGAAGGCAGTCGTGTGATCCTCGGATGCATTCATCAATATCTAAAAATGATAGTGAGTGGCGTAAATTCTTGCAGTTACAACCTCAAGAACGATCACTTAACTGAACACTAAGTGTTTCACTGCCATGGAGGAGGTCGATGGAAGGACACGGAGAAAGATTGAAGACTAAGCAATTTTTGTACATTTTATCAAGTTTATTTTATACATAGCTCCGCACCAGTGAGACGGCCTCCCACTTAAATAACTGCATTGTGGTAGAGGCAAACTCGAAACCTTAATGCTCCTTTAGGCACTACGCACTTCTTCAATGTAATGGAGTTAATGTAACATGGTAAGCTAGCTCTGTTTTTTTTCCTTTATGTTGTATATTGTAATTTTGAATAAGCGTGAGTAGATTTTTGGGACATTTTCAACGACAGGCCATTTTTACATCTCGAAACACAAAAAAACCGTCGCAAAAGAACTTCTTCGGAGTTAAGTTTCTCTTCTCTCGGTATAATAAATTCACTACAATGTTGAAAACAGAAGACTTAAGATGAAAATGCGAAGGAGGGATTGTAGCTCTTGTTCCCGTGATGAAGTCAACTCAGTGAACAAACACCCAGCAAAGCTCGTTGCTGTAATAAAGAAGTGTCAGCCGACCGCCAATGCCCGAGCAGCTTCACATATATACCGACTTTAAATTAATGTTACTGAGGGTCGTTCTTGGTAATAATTATATACATCCCTTGATTTGGTGGTCGCTCCATCAGCTATAAAGCTACTCGTAGGTTGATTTCTATAATAAGGTTTGTTATCTGTGCAACTGAGACCTTCCAGTAAACCCAGTGGTGGCTTCCAAAAGGAAGAAACTGGAACCTTTGGTGTTGCCGTATGCCGCATGATCTGCGTCACAATTATGCTTTCCTCTTTAGCACTCGTTTATGACTGCAAATGAAACTTTGACTGGTATTCGTTTGATTCTTGATATCTAAACATTTTTATTTTGTTACCTGTGCAAGTTAGACCTTCTCTGGTATATCCTGGCTTGCAAAGACAAGCAAAGGATCCTTTGGTGTTGTTACAATACATATGATCTGCAACACAATTATGCTCTTCTGTTTTACACTCGTTTATATCTGCAAAAATCAATATAAATATATATTTTTCTACCATCTGAAGGCTGAAATTTGTTTTTTTTTTCTCAATTTAGTATAAACTTAGAGAATACGGTAATAAAAATAAAAACACACCTGGTGTATTGTCGACTTCCTACCTTTTTGGCAGCGTTTTCCTTTAAAACCAGAAGGACACAAACATCGATATCGCTTCGCGGTAAATCCGGACTGACAGGTTCCGCCATTATAGCAGTAGATCTCATCGCAGGCACTCTTAACAAAAATGTTTTGTTGGTTGATTAGGTAGATATCGTAGAACAAATACGAGTTCAAATAAAATTGGTTACTAGAAAATGGTAGCTAAAAGAAATTAGAAATAGATTAAGAGTTGTTGCAAAAGAAGAAGAACAACAAGAAGCTTGAACGCAAGCTCGAACATGCAAACAAGAACACAGACACAAACACAGACACGAAGAGGAACAGGAACACAAACGTGAAAAAGAACACGAACAAAAACACGAACACAAACACGATAAAAAAAGGGAACGAGAAGAACTAAAGAGCAAGACAAATTCGAGAAAAAGAACAGAAATGTGAGGAAGAGGATTGGCAATGATAAAAATTAAGAAAAATCTTACATCTGCTCCGTGATAGAGGTAATTATCCTCATTTTTGAACTCGTTATCATGCCATCGGTGAGTGGCGTTGTTGAGCTCACATGTTTTTGTGTTCCCGTGATAGTTGACACTCACGCAGTTGTGTTCGTAGTAACACTGCAGCTTGCAGGTCTCAATATCAACAACAATTTTAGTTCCTATAGTGTGGTTCACGAAACGCTTGTTAATGAAGAAGAAAGGTGGTGGGAACGCCAGTATACGACAGTTATCTGAAACAAGAACGAAACAATTTAAAATGGATATGCTAAATGAATTACTGCAAGCCTACAAAGGTATCCAAAAATTCTTTACTCCACTCTTAATAAATAACTATCGATGATTTTTTCAATTAAAGTGATGGTTTTACAACCAACTTCAATGCCACCTATCATTATCCTTGCCGGGGGCGCAGCCAAGACAGATAATATTATAGTATGAAATAACGACTTAAAATGTTTTTTTTTTCTGGTTTGTCTAAAACAAACGAGCCTTAAACCATGTTTACACAAAACTGGAAAGCTTTTAAGGTGTTTCGATACAGTTTTTCGCAGACCATACCGATGTTTTTCAATCGCCTTAAAAGTGATTTTATCCTTGTCCGATCTCCACAAAATTTTCACCGGTGATTAACTATGAATTGAAGTTTGTCAAAATGCACTTTCTAGTAAAATCGATATCACTATGGCAACAATAAACAAATAACCTTGAAATATATTAAATCCGAATTTCGCGCGATCTATACCTGCTAATGAAAATCCGACACTGCTACTGAAAAACCTCCGTGAGAAGTAAAATATTTTGTATGTTTGAATTCAAATAAAACGTAAATATATTTCAAACCTTATATTTTCAATAGCCGTGATAAATTGTTTAATTAAAAAGTTCTAAATGACTCAAGTTGATTTCAAGTAGCGTCAGAAGGCTGCTTAATATCATATTTCGATGCATGTAAATTTTGGTGTATTTCCTTTCCTGCGATCCTGAAAACTAACCTGTTTTCTCACCGCCTGTCTGAGTACAACTTTATTCTGAATTTTGACTTTTAGCGCTTTTCTGTATATCTCTAAAGCGGCTCGACAGAATTCTTTTTTAACCTCAACACACAATCTCCATGATTTAAATATTAATGTCTGAAACTTTCATTGAGATTGATTTACTGCAACACCTTGAAATTTCAAGAGGAATCTAGCCTACGAACCGACCAAAAATCCGCGTCACAACATTCACTGTTTTGACGTTATGCTAATTTTTCCAAATTAATTCTCACCATTTTTTATAGCAGCGCTATGAAATTTCTATCTGGTCGGTCATCCTAGGGCATTTTGAGTCTGTTAGAAATTATTAGTGTTTCAATGCATTTCTTGAGATCTAAAAGTACTCTGGATAGCCTAAAAGGTGTTTTCAATGTATGTAGAAGGAAACCGTCGTTAGGTGCTCCGAATATGTGATCATCCACTGTAGACATCGGCGAGGCGTAGCTTTGCTTCGTTACAGAAATCCCATGTGAACCCACCGCTCTTATGTCTGAACAGATGCTCTGTCCGGTATGGTTTTCGCGTTGGCGCAAAAGCTATAGCCTTAATTTCAACTGCCGGCCGGATCGGCGAATCTTCCACGGGCGAAATGTTTTAGAACTCGTGGAGAGGAGACACTTACTGAGTATTAAATTGTAATTCTGGAGTTTTAAAGTGGCTGAACGACAGTTTCTCTGACATAAAGTTGAGCGCGCTAAGAAATTTTCAGTGACGCAATTGTTTCCGAGCGCGTAAAAGACTGACGTGATCTAAAGAAGATACAGCTGTAAAAACCTCGGAGTTTTCTCCCCTTGAAATGCTTTATCCCTCTTCTGTTAACATATTTATCAGGAAAAAATATGCAGCCAATGAAATTTTCTAGAAAGATTGCGAGGACCAGCTGAGAGAAATAGCCAGAAGTTTTGTGTAGAAATTTATTATGTTTTGTCGCTTTTGTCATGTCGCGTGACCCCAGCGCGCGCTCAAGTGTTGAGCATGCGCACTTAGGGGAAAATGTAAGAGCGCTTGTTTTGTTGACTTTCATAGACAATGTAAAGAAACGACGATATCTCAAAATCTACTCATTGGAACTTAACGAAATTTGCCAAAATTCTTGTCAAGTATCAAACTTCAACCATTGAAAACCTGAAAATTAAAGTTGAACAGAGGATTTTTCTGACACAATCAATTTTACATGATGTAAATAACCATTTTGTTTCAATTTCAAAAACTGTTTGTAACAATTTGGTAAAGTTATTTTTAAAAAATAAGGATTACTTATTATAATCTATGTGCAATTTCAGAAGCTAATCTAAAGACTGGAATTTGCATAAACCTTCTGCAATTTTACGCTTGTTTTAAACCATCCCTGTTGTCATGGCAACTACCAAAAACTTACGTTTAAGCTAATAAACGCAATGCCTTATAAATATGTTTTGTATGTACCAAATTTTAGCTTAATACCGGCAATGAGTCTTAAATAACCCCAGTGAATAGTAGCGACTCACAGCCTACCAAATTAAACTGTGTTAAACCACTTTAAAGCAAGTCAAAACGGATGCAAAACTGTAGTTGTTTCCGTGGAAAATGAAAATTTTTCACTCACTGACAAGGTTACTGAGCCCGGAGAAAAGAGCTTGAATGGAGTTTTATGTTATATTTACCTCGAATTAAGGACATTAACATTTAAATGAACTGACTTTTATCTCTTAATGCGATATTGCTTAGTCGGTTTATTTGAAAACCCAGTCAGTGGTTGGTTACAAAATGAAGAACTTTGTAGATAAAAACATTTTCGGGGAAACATTCCCTATTTTCTGTTGAGATCTAGCTCTACCTGTGCTACGAAGCACCTGTACATTCCCGGGTGTTCATTATTGTTCGAGCAAAAGGCGGTTTTGAAAAGGAAAAAGTAAAACTAAACAGTCCCAGTCTGGGACTGATCAGACTGATAATTTTCGAGCAACTGCATTCCCGTTCCTAAAGTCGGACGAATCTTAATGGAGCGGATCTTTCCAATAGCTATAAAACATTTTTAAAACAACCTCAACAGTGTGACTTTTTATTTTTTGTTGTTTCATTTTTTTCCATTGTACCTAAATGAATAGAATTTTTCCCTCATAATTTTGGAGTTAACTAGCAGAATTAGAATCATCAGTTGACGAATTTTCAACGTCAGGTGTACCGTCGCAATGCAACTCCTCAAGAAGTTTGGGAAAGCAGAAAAAATGATCCTTGTAATAAAAAAACTAGAACATTTACCGTCAACGCAAGCGGAGGTTAAAGCCATAAGTGATAACAGCACAAGGGGAAAAGCGTCAACGTGAAGTCTGGGAACCTTCATGTTTCCCCTGCTCTCCTTCTTCTACCGCAAGTTACCGCTAGTAACTAATGTGCTCATCAAAATGGGAAATTTTAAACTCATGTCATCATGCAAATTTACAGTCCAGGAGGTAATGAACCAGCCAGCCAACCAGCCTAATTAAAAACAAAACGAGTATCTTTAAAGACCTGCAGCTGCACCGTCAGGTTTACAAACAAGTAGGTGTTAAGTAGTGTATATTTAATTTTAACAAATTTACAAGTCTCACTTTAGACTAACTGTTGACAATATATGGATTTAGCATTTTCCTAACTGGAATTGGACAATTATTTGTGTGAATTCCTAATTCTGATTGACAAAATAAATATTATGAATGTTCATAAGACGTTCAAGGAGCTGCGCGTTTATTACCCCAATTAGCTCCAATTCAGATCCGGGAAGCTTTTAAAGCCCCCCTCTCGCTAAAATGTTTAATAACTTCAAATGCATTCATTAAGCTATGACCACTAATCATAGTAAATTTCCTAAAATTTATCTGGGAACATCTTAGAGTCGTCGTGACGTGTAAGTCAACATTGATGTAACCATGGCCACCGAGTTTAATGACAGCTTGTTTCTCAAGACCTTTGTTATGAAAACGAGTTTTATTTTCATGAGAATAAAAAATCATATCAATGGCTTCGCACTTAGCCTCGCTCTGAAACAGAAGCTTGAGTCAACTCGGAAATGGTCTATTCATTTGAGTCTTGTAAACTCTTTACTGGTACTCCCCCAGAGCTCTCGTACTGACTTAAGGTGCCATGGGGGTTTGTTTGCGTTTGATCTAGATTATAGGATCAATCGAGATTTCGTTTTCCACTCAATTTTCTTTGTACTGCTACTAAGTTGAATGAAGTAACGACGACAGCATCACCAAAACGACAACTAACGGCAAACAATTTCTAAAAGTAGTATTATTCCATTCTTGTCACACAGATAGCTTGTTAATATTAGCCATCATCTGCGCCTGTAAGCTAGGACAGAGTCTCTTAGTTTATTTAGGTTTCACGTTGAAAATAGTCGGTGAGCTGCTTTATGTTTTCAACCTTAATATCATATCGTACTCTTATAACTTTGGCGCAAAATTTTTGAGCGTTAATTTATACTTTCACATGTGAAATTAGAAAATTGCCATGGCAACGTTTTGTACGTCTCAGTGCCCAGATAGCGTCTTGTTTTAAAATGTTATTAATAAACATGTCAGGGCATTGAAATACTCTACAGAAAACCTAAACACACGAAAGAACACATCATGAAGGATTCTATTAGGTGTTCTGCCGAAAAATTCTGAAAATTATTAAATACTTTATAATGCCTTAAGGCGCGTAAAATAAATTCCCTAATGTCACTCGACACCATCTGATTACACATACAAATAGACTGGGTGGGTTGGGGGTACTAAATAAAGTAACCGTCCCAGTCAGTATATGGACTACTTAGCACCTCTAAACAAAGTCCATGAGTAGCAACAGGCAATAATTGTTCTGTCTCATTGCAGTATCGTTTTCTGGTATCCACTATCACCAAAATAAGCTAGAATACGCCAGGCTGATTTAAACGTCCCTCCTAACGGATAGGTTGGGTTAGAGGAACTAAGCAAACCGTTTGAGTCAATATGGACTTCTTAGCACCTATAAACAGCTGCATGATAATCAACAGGCAATACTGAACTGTCCGTCCTATTGTATTATCGTTTTCTGGTATCCGAGAAGATCCATGGGATCCCCGCATACATCTTCTACAGCTTATTTAAGGGGTATAGGTGCGTGTCTCCAACTATCCATAGCAGTTGACGGGTTTCTTAACAAGCTCTCTGCTTTGTATTGTGGTAATAATTCTAATCCGCTTATTAATGTTAGGTGACCAACCCAGTCCTGCAATTGCAAATTTATAAAGGTCACATGTAACTTTTACGGCCGTATTCGCCACAAGATCTTAGTGAACAACTTCAAAGCGATCTAGTTTCTAATGGGGAAGAAAACAGACCAAGTCGAATATTTATCAAAAACGTTGTGAAAACTTTTCCGAAATGCGGAGTTCTTAATGTTTTTTTCATCCACCCTTGCTTAACCTTGTATTGTATTGTATGTTGGAGGGAATTTCCACTGAATGTATAATAGTTAACAATTGTTTAAAATGGTGGTAAATATTCCTAAAGCCCCGTGCAAACGGACGCAACGATGTTGGATGTTACATGTCGTGTCCGTTTCCACACCCTGTTGCATGGCATGTTGTTATGTGTTGTTGGAAGTTGTTTCGCAAAGTTTGAAACCGGTCAAGCTACGTGCAAACGGTCGCAACAACTCCCAACAATGTTGGGAGTTGAAAATGAAGAGATGATCGTCGCAGTGAACGCAATTTATGCAATTGCGTAAGGAAGCCTGAAAAAAATTCAGGACTTCAACGGGGTTTGAACCCGTGACCTCGCGATTACCGGTGCGATGCTCTACCAACTGAGCTATGAAGCCACTGACGTTGGGAGCAGGTCAATTGTGGGTTCATATGTTCCCGTGAAAGAAATGAGTGTTGGTGATATATGAAATAATCATATATGAACTGCGGAAATTAAATGAAAATGAAGAAATGATCGTCGCAGTGAACCCAATTTATGCAATTGCATAAATTCAGGACTTCAACGGGGTCAAGCTACGTGCAAACAACTCCGGTCTAACTACGGTCGCAACAACTCCCAACAATGTTGGGAGTTGTTAGTTGTTGGCCAAAAGCGTTGCGTCCGTTTGCACCGGGCTTAAAGGCTAGTTTTCAGTGGAGACGGAGTCAGAGTTGGAGTCGTAAGCAGAGTCGAAGGAGCGCTTATAACTTAGTGAAAACCAAAAATCGGAGTCGTAAGCAGAGTCATAAGAAGGGCGACGGAATCGGAGTCGGAAGAACCAACCAGAAAGTTTCCATTTTCTTCTGACTCCGCTTACGACTCCGTCGCTTACAATCTAGTAAAAACCAGATTGTCGGAGTCGGAAGCCTAAAAGGAAGGACCAATCACAATGCACGTTCTCACGCTCTGTGATTGGTTTAGTTCACCCACTTCTGCTTGTGACTTAGATAACCTAGTTTTCACTTGATAGTAACTAGAAGTGAAGGAGTCGTAAGCTGGATCACAACGCTGTTTTCTCTAGATCGTAAAGTCTTTATGCTTCTGATTACGACCTTTAAAAGCTACTTTTCCCCTCGATTGCGAATAGTATTTCTCATCAGTATTACGAGATAACAAACCAGTCAGTTAATTTTGTCTTTTTATTGTATATTGAATTTTCCGAGCGTTATACAAAATGTGTCTGTCTTGTTAAGGTCTATGACAGCTTCATTGCAGTGAGTGTCTGATAAAAGCAAGAGGCCTCTTCTCATTTTCGAATAATTTTAGCGCGAAATTTAAAAGATGGTTCAATGGAAAAGAAGTGAAGTTATAGGAAGACAACGATAGGATAAGAAGCTGCGTCACGGATGGCTAGTTCGTTCTTTTTGCAGTAGCGGACCCAGGGGGGGCCCTGGGGGTTCATGCACCCCCCCCCCCCCACTTATTTTTAGACCAAACTGAGGCAAAAAATTTGGAGACCACCCCCTTCCCCCTTATCTCAGGGTCTGGATGACCGCCCCCCAACACCCCCTTATCTGAAGGTCTGGATTCGGCACTGGTTTTGTTTATAATACTAGTTAACGGGTCTCAATGGGGTTAACGTCAGCCGTCAAACGGCCTAAAAATTTAAAAAGCCGTCAACCTTGAAAAAAGGTTATTTTTCACCGTCAACCGTCAAAAATGCCGGATAACATTAACCATAAAAAAGTTTCCGAGTATTTCAAATCTAACTATCATTAGCGGTTCCTGAAGAATTTCTAAACTGGAAAAACCAGTTCCCAGCTTCTCAAAAACACTCTTTTTAAACTTTACAATACTTTACAGCCTGCGGCTTATATCGGAAAATATTTCAAAATTTTGCAAGTGAAAAACCAAGCAACCACTAAAATGCAACAGTTAATATTAAATCATACTAGAAGTTGATTTTTATTTCAACTTTTGGACTAATTTCCACTTTATAACTGTCAACACCGTAAAAAGCTCTAAAATTAACCCGTCAGCCGTCAAAACTGGAAAAAATTTTACTGTCAACAGTCAAACCTGCCACCCCATATTGACACCCTCCAGTTGCACGTCGGTTTTTCTCAATGGAACTTGAATTTAACTTGTCAGCCTGACTTGTGAAGGTCAAACCCACAGCTTTGTGTCAAACGAATATGTCCCCTAAGCATTACAGTATGTCAAACCGGGTGGCGGGTAATCGGTTCTTGGATGATCAAACGTTAGAAACAACAAATTATACTGCGAACGGCAGACGTTTCTCCTTGCTCATCGCCGCTGAGGGACGTTTCGCGAGGAGGAACTCAGCGACAGAAATTCCATGCTGATGACGTAAATCGATGTTTACGTAATATATCCGGTAGTCATGGGGTTCCAAATGAAAATTTGTTCAATTTTTACGTTGTTCCTGGTCGATTTTTGAAAATTGTTGTGTTCATCTGCGAATGAGCTCCAGCTAAACTCGTTAATGCTTCTTCTAGAGAAGACCATATTCCAGACGTATCGACTGTTTTGTTAGATATTCACCGCGTTTACATTTGACCTTTGCCGCCTTTTGTCTTTTGTCTGTCATTCGTAAACAATAGCTGGAACAATGAAACTACTCCGTCGACCAATTAGCGCTTCTGACCGGATTCCGGACAGATTTTGCGTCATCAGTATGGAATTTCTGTCGCTGAGTCGCAGACATTCCTCCTCGCGAAACGTCCCTCAACGGCGATGAGAGAGAAGAAATGTCTGCCGTTCGCAGGCTAACAAGAAATTATCCTTGAAAGAATGAACTTAGGCTAAAAAGTTTTCAAACTTCACAACTGCAATCTTTGTTCGTCTTTTACTGTGTTATTGATACCTCCTTTTAACGTTTTGAGCGGCCATTTTATGTTTCACTCAATTTGGTGGCAGTTTCCAGCTGCTTGAATGTTGATAAAATTTGTGACACAGCTTCTTTAAGGCAACAAAGGAATGACCACCTTATTTGCTATATGGGAGCGACTAATGATGCAAATTATGAATAACAATTAATTAGCTTGGAATAACAACCTCTTCATGATTTTTTTTTTTAGTGTAGTGTTAGTCTGCAATAAGCAGTGTTGCTGTTGGTGTTCTCCCATATCCACTTCGCTGTCACTGCGATGCCATTTAGTGTACCCCAAGGACTGTCACCATGGTTTGCAATCACTTTTGCCAAAGGCCAGTTCTGGTCATCAAAAGCAGGGGAAGTCCATCCGGGATACAGAACGCTGCTGCATTTCCAAGTTTCATTAGTGACCTGTCCGTTGCTAGTGGAGCCGAGTATTCCGAGAGCGACTCCGGAGTCTTTCCCGGCTACTGACAGAACTCGAGTGTGTCCTGGTACAAGGTAGGTGGTGGGGTTTCTCCAATTACTGTCCGTTCCGAGGCTTTGACCGTCAGCAAACATTTCCATTTGATCATCACCAGTGAATGTTGCAGTAAATTCTAAAAAGAGAGACAATTTTTTTTTTCTATGAAGCAATTTTCTGGTTCTGGTTAATAAGTCAGATTTAGAAATGGCAGCGCTCTTGCGTCGCAGTCGTTGCGGTCGTATTTCACCGTTCCGTATACCACAAGGGGTGTGGAGAGAGGAGTTTTAAGGAATAGAGATCTTAAAAAATTTTTGAAGGCAGGACATATTTGTTACCACGACACAAGTGAGGTACTTTATTTCCAAATTAAAGAAGGAAAGTTATTGTTGATATACCAAAAAATAGCAAATCGATGCAGTCAGTTCAATCTACAACGTCATCACTATTTTTACCTCCTGCCCTTGTCATTAACATCATGAATTGTCTTAATTTTGAAAATATATATCATCATTTTCATTATCAATGAGATTAGCCTTATATCATCACCGTCACCATCATTATTATCAAAGTCAGCCCACTTCAAACGTTGAAGTTTACATTCACCTATTCCCTGGTGGTTACAAGGGTGATCCGCCCAGACCGATAAACCCTGCAAGATTATCTGTCTAATTCTATATATTATACGGAAGCCGATCGAGGCACCCCGATTATGTCTCCTGCCAAGTTCAAAATGTTTCAGACTTCAGGGTCGTCGCAAGGTTGTTCAAAGGGAGTGTCACACTGTGTCAAGCCCAGGGTACTTTCCAGATTGGCATGTAGACATCCTCGTCTTGTTTTAATAAAAGTGACATTTTGTTTTTCGGAGAGCAGTGACCGTGGCGGGAGGGACGAGCCTACAAAACGGTCGGGTCCACGTAACATGAATTACGTACTCGGAGTATCAATGGCCTCGTATTCACGTGGCGAGAAGATATGGAATATGTTGACTATATAAACCAGTGGATGCCTAACTGCTCTGACCTTCATAATAGACCATTTTACAGTTGTGGGCTTATAGTATACTAGCCTTTGACTGAAAGTGAGATTGAGGTTGACCTTGTTTTGATACAAAACTCCTTCCTTTTCTAATGTAGTTTTCGCTCAAAAATACTATTTAGCATAAGAACAACATGATTTACATGAGAAGGCAGGAAGGGTTGTATCAAAGCAAGGTCAACTCCAGCCTCTATTCCACATGTAGCTGTAAAATGGGCTATTTTAGTTATGACAAGAACGTGGTCCACTGCAGATGTTCGGTCCTGCAAATGGAGTATGTAACTATCTAGCACTGGAAATATTTATTGCATGTTGTTTCTTCGGATTCACGTTTTCACACTAAGGGGAGTGGTGGGATCACGGGCACACCGGGACCTCCCCTAGCTACCCCCCGGGAATTTAAAAAAGTAACCTCGGAAGATGTACAATTTTTACCGTCTTCTTTTGCCTGTTCCTCAGTAAATTCAGAATGTGAAAGTTTGTTTAGTCTAGTGGATAGTTCATAGCGTTCATAGTGGTATTTGTGCTACTCTTGCTATGCATATGTTTTTGCGCAGTGTTTCGGCTGTTTCTACCAAAACAGCTGGGCTACCGCGCCCTCTGTTGTTCATTTTTGTCTTTTTTTCTATCAATATTCTGTACAGAAGACGTCAATTATACAGATATCTGAAAATATCTCTCAAATTCGGTCAACAGTGGCGGATCGTGAAGCATTATCCGGGGGATTTAAGGCAATTAAAAATGAGGAATTGTTCAAATTGAATATTAACAGGATATATAGGATCATTTTACTCTATACCGTCACATTCCCCCAATAATCCAATGGTGGTTTTCCTCATTACTTAATTTACGCCAGAAATAATAGCATCTATAACGCTTTTGTTTCCATTTGTTTGATTTATTTCTGAACCACTGGTGGTTAGCCCAAGTCGATAGAAATCAACTAATCCAAACAGATCTCCATTTACAGCTCCATTGTATTGAAGATGAACTCATCCTTACCTGTTGGATGACAGTATGTCTTTCCGTCACCTGTGTACCCGTCGTTACAAGAACACTTAAACGAGCCATCAGTGTTTGAGCATGACGCGAGGCTTTGAAGGCAATCATCTGACCCCTGTACGCACTCATCAACATCTAAAAATGATAAAGAAAATCGTCTATTCCCAGCTAAAATCCTAGGAAAATCTGACGCGATGAGACGCAAGAAACGTACTAAAACACGACAATCAAAGAAAAGTTATGAGACCTGTTTGTTTGTTTTAATTGCTTGTTTGCTTGTCTTGTCTTGGTGCACCATATCAGGGGCGGATCCAGGATTTTTTTTAGGAGGGGGTGCACTCGTCTCTTGCTCTACTTCAACACCAATAAACCACATAGTTTTTTTTATTGCAGAATACCAGTTGTATTAGAAAAGCGCAAGTCATCTCACGGGGGGCGGGAGGGGGGTGCGCACCCCCTGCACCCTCCCCCTAGATCCGCCCCTGCATATTATGATGAGCCAATTGATGGCAAGTTTACAAATGGAGAGAGAGAGCTCAGAGAAAGAAAGAAAAAAGGACCAATCGGTTCTACTGAAACGGGTTCGATAAGATATGGCGAAAAAATCTCCCCGGGTAGTAGAAGGGTCCCCCTCCTAGCTGAGTCAACCTTAGTGTGCGTTTATATGAGACTGAAAAATTAAACCCCTTTGCCCGAGCAAACAGGAGCCCATCACGGACGAGGAAATGAGTAAATAAGGTAAACTTGTCGAGTTTTTCAACTCAAAACCTTTTTCAAATTCGTGCTTGCATGATTAGCCCGCGGAAAGCAAAACATCTTGACGTCACAACCATGTTTACATACTCTTATGCAAACACGCCTCTCGGCCAATCAGAGCGCGCATACTATCTTAGTTATTTTATAATGGCTCCTGTATTGGCTAATTACTTATTTCCCAAAATTTGGACCATAAAGAAAATAAGAACAATATAATGCGTTGCCGACTTCTTACCTTTCTCGCAGCGTTCTCCAGTGTAACCAGATGGACACAAACATCGATATCCCTTCACGGTAAATCCAGATTGACAGGTTCCGCCATTGTGGCAATAGATCTCATCACAGGCATTCTTAACAAATAGTGTTTTAATAAGGCAAAAATCACGGAAAAATTCATGCTTAAGTAAAACTGGCTTGAAAATTACATTAAAGAAATAGAAAGAACTCACAGTTTCAAGCCAAGAAGAAGCTAGAAGAAGAAGAAGAAGATGATGATGATGATGATAATAATGATGATAAAGAAGAAAAAGAAGAAGAAGTAGAAGCAGAAGCAGAAGAAGAAGAAGAAGCAGAAGAAGAAGCAGAAGAAGAAGAAGAAGACGAAGAAGGAGAAGCAGAAGCAGAAGCAGAAGAAGAAGAAGAAGAGGAAAAAGAAGGAGAAGAAGAAGTCGAATTACAGAATTAAAAGAATGAGAAGAATTCAAACAAAAACTTACATCTGCTCCATGATAGAGATAACCATTTTCCTCTATGAAATTCTCGTCATACTTGAGATGAGTAGCGTTGTTTAACTCACATGTTTCTGTGTCTACTTGATAGTTAACACTCACGCATTTATTTTTAAAGTAACAATGCATCTCGCAGTCTTCAAAATCAACTCCAATTTTATATCCTATGGTGTGGTTCACCAAACGTTTGTTGAAGAGGAAAGGTCCTTGAAAGACCAATACGCGACAGTTATCTGAAACAAGAACAGGTTCAAAAAGCTCCCTTACCTTTAGTTCATAGCCCCTCTGTAACATCTGGCCGGTTTAAACGCCGTTTAGTCGACTTTTTTTGAATCAATATTACGCGTGATCATGCGGATTTTTTTTCTTAGCGTTGTAGATTCGAATACATACGATAAAATTCGAACTATAAGAGCCCGAGTCACACGTAATAATGCAAGAAATATCGAAATATCATACTAGTATATTCCGGCCAAATGACCTCTGAAGCCCGAATCCACACATAGTACGCTTGGGCTGTCTGTGATTAGATCATATATATTTTTAAATGAAGATATGATCATCGCAGTTGTAATTGCAATTTACTATAAGCAATTGCAAATAGACCCGAAAAAATTTCGGGACTTCAACGGGATTTGAACCCATGGCCTCTGCTCTGCGTTAGTGCTGCAGTGCCCTACTATTTGAGTTATGAAGACCTCCAGTGGTTCCTAGCTGTCGGTATCAACATGATTAAAACCTTGAAAACCTGCTAACGTTTCGGCCGTCCGCTTATGTTGCCGGCAACCAAAAGCCGCACTCTTTCGAGTATTAAAACCAAGGTTTTTCAATTTTGATTGCTCGTTGTCTTTTTTCTTTAATTTCCGGCTCTATTAAAAAAATCTGTGCGATAAACGGTCGTGTCTCGAGAAAATCAACATCGCCGTTATCATGTAAGCCAGGTTACCATTTAAACTCAAAAAATTTTTCTAAGTTTGGATTCACTAATTTCGACTTGTTAGGAGTTTTGAAAGAATCGTCCTGATTATGGATAGTTTAAAATGTTCTGAAAACATTTATGAAACAAATGAATCTTAGTCTACTTTGTGTTTCACAGGAGGATGTCTTGCGGCTCTAAAACTGGTGTGAAATTGAAAACTCTGAAGCAGGCTTACCGTCCATGAATGCGAAGATAAACTTAAGTGAAAACAACAGGAGGAAGAAAGCTTCAGTTTGAAGGGGAAGCATGGTTCATTTTTCCCTTATCTTTCTTCCTTCCGGACGGTACAAGTTGTGCACAAAATGAGAAATTTGAAAGTCGATGTCTCGTCAGTTACCAGTTTTCATTAGTCTGGTCATTCTGTGTACCAGTGAAATTAAAAAAAGCAGGTGTTAAGAGTTTCAAGGTTATTATTGTTATTAACAATTTCCAAGCCGCGTTTCCATGTTTGGTTATTTTAAATAGTGTAAGTCAGCACGTATATCGAGCGGAGGTGTGTAAATGATGAAAAATCAAAAAAAATTATCACGTTCATGCACATAAATTTCATCAGAAATATACCCATAATACTTCTATCTGACAATTATTTAGACTTACGGTGGGTTAATTTTTAGTTTTGCAATATTGGGGACCTGACTTTTGGGGGGCCGACGTCAGTACACAAATACTACTCAATACCAGTGCCAAATAATTAATTCAATAAACTGTGCAGAATGAAACATATCATATGTCCGCAGAGGTTTTTCTTAGTTTGAACACAGGCGTCCCAAGCTCACGTTACGAGTGTGTTATGTGAATTGTTTCTATTTTATAGAAAAAAGGTGAAAATAAAATGATGTGTAGCGTTCGCAGACCTCAGTATTTAATTTTTCATACAAGGTCTCAACGTTCGCTCGTAACACCGGCTCTCTTGTGAGATAATTTACATGACACACTCGTAACGTTAGCTTGAGACACCTGTGGTTTGAACCAAAATGTAATATTTTGGAGATTCTTCTCCAATATTTTCAACAATTTCTGCCGATGGAAAATCGGCAATTTTTAAAGCCAAAATTCATCGCCTGTTACGTAACTTAAAGTAGAATGACTTATACCTAATTAAAGAGCGCCACCTGCTGTTTCAAATTCTGTTTTCAAGACCGATGAGCATCATAAAACAAACTCCTTTTGAAGCCACGAAAATCTAACTAGTTATTTTCTGAAATTTGAGTTTTCATGGCTCTTCCTCAAGGAGCTAAAACTCGGAAAAAGACAGCACAAAATCAATTTGAGCAACGGTGGTTTTATTTAGAAAACTTGCTATTAGAACGGCGTCAGATGTTTACAGAACTATCTGGAATAATTTGCAATAATTTCACAGCAAGAAAAGTGGATTTCGTTTGTCACATGCTGCTAAGTGTAGTAGTCACGTGGAGTTTCATTTATAGTCTCGTCCCTGACTCGTCCCCTTTAGCCGTCTCTTTGTGTCTCCTTCATTGACGAGGAAGGCGCGTGGAAGGAAACGTAAGGAAACCATGACGTCATTTAAGTGTATTTAAGTGTAACAATTATTCCACGAGTGCGCGTTGGATATGGTAGTATAGCCAACTAGGCGCGTAGCTCATATCCAACAAGCGTGAGTAGAATAATTGTTTTATCAAAAATGCCCACAAAATATTGAGAATTCTTCCCGATTTTATTTGTAGAAACAACCGATTTTCAGCTCGTTTTTCATTTGGAGCAGACGCGTACAGTTACCATATTTGGAGAGCGTAGTATAATTAAGCAATAGAAAACTTTTTTCCGTATTTGCATAGCCTGATATAAACACTCGAGGGGTTGGGAGGATTCGAGACAGTTATGTAAACCCGAGACGAAGTCGAGGGTTTGCATAACTGTCGAGAATTCTCCCAACCCCTCGAGTGTTTATATCAGGGTATGCAAACGCAGGAAAAAAGTTTCCTATTGCTTTTATAAATTAAAATAACTTTCCCGAAAAAAAAAAAAAAAACTCTCTTGTTTAGAGCATTGATTAAAAGAGAAATTCTTAGTCGCGAAGTCTTGTGCACGAAGCTTGTACGCGTAATCAGTCTTTGTTTTGCAAAAAAGATGCTTTCCAAAATACGGGTTTTTGTCGCTTAAAATGTCAGCTCAAGTGAAAAAAAATTGACATAGCATGTTTCTAAAGATTTTTCAAGTTTCAACGGACGAGAAAATGGGTAAATAAGGTAAACTTGTCGAGTTTTTCAGCTCAAAACCTTTTTCAAATTCGTGCTTGCATGATTAGCCCGCGGAAAGCAAAACATCTTGACGTCACAACCATGTTTACATACTCTCATGCAAAAAGGCCTCTCGGCCAATCAGAGCGCGCGTACTATCTTAGTTATATTATAATAGCTCATATACTATGATAGCTAAGCCAATCAGAGCTCTACAATTGCATTATCCAATGATTCAGTTTTTAATAAAAATTAATATTTCCTGTTTTGCCTTTCTTTGTATAAAGAACACTGAAACTATATTTACTGCACTTTCAGCCTACAATAAACAAAGCCTGTGTTATTAGTGGTCCATATCCACTTTGCCGTCCTTGCGATGCCAGATATTGTCTTCCAAGGTTTGTCGCCATGGTTTCCTACAACGTTTGCCGAAGGCCAGTCCTTGTCATCAAAATCCGGCGAAGTCCATCCCTGTTGAAAGACACCCTTGCATTTCCAAGTTTCATTAGTTAGTAGTCCATTGCTTGTTGAGCCGAGTATTCCAAACAGGAACCCTGTGTCTGTTCCTTCTACTGAAATAACTCGGGTATCACTTGGTATCTGGTAGATGGAAGGGACTCTCCAATTATGATCGTTTTTGTGTTCCATTCTTCTATCATCAGCAAACATTTTCATCGAATTGTCACACGTGAATGTTGCAGTGAATTCTAGTTAAAGGAAATATAGATGTTAGGCTGCGCGCAAACGGGCGCAACAACTCCCAACATTGTTGCGCCAACAATGTTGGGAGTTGTTGCGTGGGTGTTGGCAGTGGTGTGCAAACGGATGTAACAACTCCCAACAAGTTTGGGACCTGCAGTGCATCGTGGGAAGAATACAACCCATAATTCTTTGTAATCCATGCGTAATGAGCGTGCGTGGCCCCTACAATGTTGGAAGAGCTGTGCAAACGGATCAAACATTGTTGCGCTACGCTTCGGCGATCACTGAACAAAAGAAATGTTGGGAGTTGTTGGCTGAAAAGTTTGACCGGTTTCAAACTTTGCGCAACAACACGCAACAACATCCAACAACATGCAACAGGGTGTGCAAACGGACGCAACATGTAACATCCAACAATGTTGGGAGTTGTTGGCCAACAATGTTGCGTCCGTTTGCACAGGGCTTAAGCGCTATACAGAGAAAGTCCAGTCCTGAAACGTTCTGGGTCTAAATAGACACAACCACTAAGCCCGACACCAGCGTTAACTTAAATCCATCACAAAACCATTTTAAGCATTGTATGATAATGAAAATATACTTGCCTTTTGGCCTGCAGAATGTCTTTCCATCGCCTACATATCCATAGTTACAAGTGCAATTATAAGAGCCAACAGTGTTTGAGCAAGACGCAAGGCTTGGAAGGCAGTCATGTGATCCGTGGACGCACTCATCAACATCTAAAAACGATAAGAAGAATCGATCAACGTTTCCTCCGTGATTCAACCTCAAGGAACAATTGAACAATTGGGGCTGGGTGGGGTGACATATGTTGTTACGTAAT